ACATTACACGGTGTTCTCTTTTGAAGCTTGCCGTTGCCCTAGCAGGCCTTTGAGTTCTGGGTGGAGCCAGCTTGATGGGGGATTCTTTTCTTTTGTCGGGGTTAGCTTAGCAGCTGCTATTTGGGTATTCTTCATATATATATATATATATATATATATATATATATATATATATGTGTGTGTGTGTGTGTGTGTGTGTGTGTGTGTGTGTGTGTGTGTGTGTGTGTTTGCGTGTGTATGTGTGTGTGTGTGTGTGTATGTGTGTGTGCGTGTGCGTGTATGTATTGTGTGTGTGTGTGTGTGTGTGTGTGTGTGTGTGTGTGTGTGTGTGTGTGTGTGTGTGTGTGTGTGTGTGTGTGTGCGTGCGTGTGTGTGTACATACATATGTATATATATATATGTGGAAGGTTAAGGAGTGAAAGAGAAGTGACAATGTCGGAAATAAGGTCAAACGGCAGTTCGGAACAATTAGCCTACGTGATGAGTGGCGACTGCTGGGAGTGAATGAGTATACGAGCCGAAGTGTGAATGAATCCCCTTGAAGCAGTGACGTATGTAAGGAAATGTTGAATGGGTGAATGAATAGAGAATGTCTTGTGCATTTTTTCCTTCACAAGGTATAGTTCTTTCCCCCCGAAGATATTGCAATGATGATTAAATATGTATCCTAATAATAGATAGAAATAGAAAATAAATGGAAAATGTGACCAAACTAATAAATGGAATTATGCGAAGGTCAAAAGAAAAGAAAACAAAACAAAAATAGACGGAACAATATATGAAAATAAATTATCATCGAATGACAAGGGGAAACCCCCAGTGTGACGTCCCATTCACACTCAGACAGCTGCCCAGACGAGACTTACCCACATGAGGGGGTAACAGCCACTACCGTATTTTAATCATCCTCGGTAAGGAAAGCAATTTTTATTATAAAACGTGAAAAGTGATATTGACAAAGAGCACAAAATAAAGTAAAGAACGAATATAAAATCGTGGTTTATAACACTTAACAGGGTTTCCGGTGTAACCAGCTGTCGAATTACTTCCCTGACTCCTAATGCTCAGCCGATCCTATTAGTTGTTTGCTTGCTTTCTGTTGTGCCGCCCCCTTCTCTTTCCGTGGGGGTCCTGTAGCCACGACAGGGGAACGGGGACTGTAGCTGAGGACATCGTGCAGAGTGAAGGGAGGCCGAGTCGGGAGTTTTTTTTGTTTTATCTTTACAGCAGATTGTTTGTGCCTGGGTTTTCACTATATAATAAGCGAAAGTACTATAGTGGGGTACAATTTACATTCGAAAAGGGAGTGATAGCTCAGATTGGCGGGTTTTGGCCGGAATCAGCACTGCCCGTGTGTCCCCAGCCGGCACTCCGCAAGCAGGGAGTGAGTCACCGTAATCCTGAGCCAAGAATTAACAACTGCCAATTGTGAATTATCAGTTTTACGAATTGCTGTATTTGAGATATAATCGAACTTATTTTAATGTTATTTTGCTGAAATAAACAAGTTAGAATTGACTACGGTTTACCTTGACACCACCCGTATTTGATTTTGTTATAATGGTGGGCTGCGTTAGGGATCGTGCTTCATTTTACTGTATTGGGTATATGCAATATACATGATGGTGGCAAAGTACTAAATTTGTAATTTAAGCTAGTTCAGCCGCGTGGGCAAAATAGAAGGGTGCAAAAATAACCCTATGCTTGCTACGGCTGACGCAAAGATCCCAGAGGCGAGAGTGGAAGATACGGGAAATATGCAAGTCGTAAGAATCCCGAAATGTTCTGTGAAAGCAGAAGTCCTTCACGTCGGGAAAGGGGTATATGTGCGTAGATATGGCTTTGTGCAGTAGTGATGGTAAACCAGAAGAATCTCCAGGTAAGGATTACCATGTGTCAAGAAATGGATTAGATGCGGCGTGGTATACTTTAGCAGCAAATAGAATTGGTAAAATTACTAACCAGGAATATCGGAAAAGTTCACTCGTGGTTTGTGTGCTGGAGGAATACGCTCGCAATACAGGTACGTCAGAGCGAGAACACATTCGCCTCGCACAATCACGCACTCAAAGTTTAGTCAAGCAGTATATATTACTCCCTAAGTTCCTCTCCTTCAGAAAGTATGGGATGAAGAGAAGATGCCACCGAAATGGGAACTAAGTGAACTAGTCACCGTTTACAAGAGGAAAGGGGATCCACTGGACTGCGGGAACATCAGGGGCATCAAGCTCCTAAAACATGTTATGAAGATACTGGAGAAGGTAATAGAGGGAATGTTACGTGGACTGGTATCGGTAAACGGTATGCAGTTTGTCTTTAGCCCAGGTAGGGGAACGATGGACGCTGCCTTTATTATAATGCAACAGCAGGAAAAACATCCTGAAGTGAACATGGATTTATATTACACTTTCGTGGACCTGGAGAAGGCGCACGACCAGGTCCCTAGAGACCTGGTGTACTGGTGCCTCAGACAGCAAAAAATCCTAGAAACACTGATAAG